CCCCACGGGAACCCCATCCGGCTTAGAGGATCAGTGCAAAGGAGGGCGACTGGGAGGCGCAGCCCACGCGGAGCTGGCAAGCCAACGCGCCACGGCTGCGGAGAGCCCGAGCGCTGAGCGACGCTCGCTCGGTTCCTTCATTAGCTTCCCCTCCACGCGGCGCTGCATGCCTCGGAAAATAAGTTAGCAAACGGGGAGCCGTTTATCTCTTTTATCTTGGGGCCTGATCCAATTAAATAAGTGCACATTTACATTTGCATCCATCAGGCGGGAGCACTGAGAGCCTGGGGTTTGCTCGGAGCAAATAAAAGCAGATTTCACTGGGAAAGTGACGTCTGGACGCGCTGGGCTCGTTCGGGCTCCGGAAACTAACGCTGCCGGGCGGCCGGCCTTGGGGGACCCAGGATTGGGGGCTGCTGCCGACAGTAGGCGGGAGACCCCCAGCGGCTCCGAGGGGCGGGCCAGTGCAGGGAATCGAGCCAGAGTTGCAACCTTGCCCCGGGAGGGTTCTTCTGTTAGGCCACAATCTGGGTCCGCCTAGTGCCCGAGGTGCATGTCGCATTTATCGCGAAAACGAAATGGAGACCTGGTCTGGCCTGGTCACAAAGCGAGACTTGTAGAGAGGGTCTAAGGATGGTTCTGAAGCTTTGGCTAGTTTAAGGGAAAGAGGGCAACAAGGTCCCAATCGGGCCCCATCTCCCTCCTGTTTGATGGCGGAGCGGCAAGGGGTGCGAAGAGCTGGGCCAAAGGCGCGCCCTCTTACTCCAATATCCTTGCACCTTAGGGACAACAGTTAATACCACCCATTAGCACTTCTGGCTGCGCGGGCGACCGCCCGGGAGAGCGCTGCGTGCTTCGCCACGCCGACCTCATTAAAGATGCTCTCGAAACAGAAGGGTTCCAAGCAGTGGGAGAACAGTTTTCTTTTCCTTCATCTTTAATGTCCACCCACAGGTCAAAAGCTCCAAAGACCAAAACGGTGGTCGGAGGCGCAGTTGCATAGTCACACCCTTCGGAAATGCCAAAACTCAGATTAAATAGGACTGCGCAGGGTGCAGATCGCGAGCTTGGAGGCCCACAGAAGCGAAGTGCGAGCACCTGAGCCCCAGCGGAGCCCCGCATATTGTCGCCCGCGTATTTCTCGATCGCCTGCTGCCTAGTTTTTTGAAACAGTGCGGAAGCCATGACGAGAATCTGTAGGGTTAAAGCTGTTTTAGTCAAAGGCCCTGCTCCCCAAATCCCCAATTGCTAACCAGGTCCTGAAGTCCATACCCAAGGCGACTTAGGATGGCAAAGCAGTTTGACCAGTTCGAAGTTCAAAGCTAAGTCCCTGCTGTGGATGGGGGCTTGGCAGGATTTTGCCTAACTCCTTCTCCCAGCGAACCCCGTGGCTTCGGGGTGGGGGGACCAGTAGGCGGCGCCCTTCCTAAACCGCATCCGCATCCAGCTCTCAGGAGCACAGTCTTGTTCCTTTCACTTTGGGTGCTTTACAGTGAGCTGTTCCCTGCCTCCAACCCGCGTTGGCAGCTTCATGTGGGGAACAGGCGGGTTGGGAGACCTGGCTCCTGCCGAAGCCGCATGCACGACCCTAACTCTTCTTCCCCCAAACCTTTCAGGCCCAAGAGCTGCGCCTGTCAAGGAAATGAGTGGCCCTGGTGGGTTTGTAAACTAGGAGGCCTCGCAGCAGGCCCCGCACAAGAGTTAGGGAACATTTTTCAGGCCTTTTCAGGCTTTTCATGGACCCTGGAGTCCATGAGCAGGAAGGGAGAGGCTCCTCCGAAGCCTCTCAAGGCCCGTGTACTCGCCTTCGGGGAATTTACTATGTTATTTGGTCCTCACTCCCAAATGCCTGCACTGATTTCCCCTGCACAGAGGGGTAATGGAAGAGACAACCCGGTCCATTCTCGGGTCCGCGCCGCGTCTGGATACTGCTTGCCTGCATAGCCCCTACGCAGTGATCTCGGGACCCTTGTCGCTAGGGTCTCCTACTCCCTAAACGCCAGGCGAAGTACTTCCTGGGATCCAGAACTCGCCCAGCAAAGCGCAGGTGGCTAATGCGCGCGCCACCCAACCCCGCACTGTCTTAGGCACTGCCTCTCGAAACTTCCGCGCTCCAATTCAATACTGAGAACAAACTCTGGCCCTAGTTAGTCCCCTCTGCCCCCCATGCTTCTAGGATGCATTGCCTACTAGATGGCTGGAGAGGCCACAAAACGGAGGTTAGGGGACATTCTTGTGACCCTGCAGCCACACAACGACTCCTGGGATTAAACGCAGGAGCGTTTCCTAAATGTCCGCACCTGGATCTGCCCCGCAGGCTACCTCCATATTGGAAAGTCTCTAGACACCAGAAAAACTACTGGCCGCCTAAACCCAGCTCTGCAAAGAAGAAAACCCCAGACTTCATTGGGATTGTACTCAAGACGAGCTACGCAAAGAAAACCGTAGACCCTGCAAGGCTGTGGGCAAGGGACTGGGACTCGGGCACCAGCAACCGAGACTCTGGTGGTCGCGTACCCCAGCTGGGAGCCTCCTTGCGCCGCCCTTCGTTGGGGAGAAAGACCGCGCGCTCCCGGGCACGCGGTTCGGATTCCCAGGCAGCCCCGCGGGCATTCGGCTCCCAGCCCCAAGCCTTAGCAGTCGGACTTGGGAGGCTGCGCCATGTCATTTGCATATTCCCGGGAACACAAGGAGGCCTGTAATTTTCTTTAAAAAAATCGATGGGCAGGGTTTTAGGACCAATGCTTCCAAAGCCCCGCCGAGTTGATGTCGTCTTTAAACTTTCTCTTAAGAGACTGGCCTATTCTTCAGACTTTTTAGAAAAGGTGTCTCCTGGGGTTGTATATTCAACAGCGAGGAAAAAGCTGATTGTGAACTAGGCTGGGGGAAGGGGGTGGAAGGGACTGAGGCGTTTGGGGCCGGGAGGGAGGGGGGAGGGCAAGTCATCTCTGGAATTCAATTGTTTAAAAAATCATTTATAATTAAAGGGACAAAATAAAATACGATCATCTCATGCATATTTAGTGATTCACACTTACAGCTTTGAAACCATGTTCCCTGCGTGAATTTTGTCACTAATTTAAACCCTGAAGTCAATCACTGTTCGCTAAAACATCCGGACAATACTAGCTTTCAAACTTGTCGAATAAGCTAAAGGATCCCAGTGGCAGGTTAAAAAAAAAAATAGCAAACGCAATAACTCCAGTGAAACTTTGGGGTGTGTTTTAAAAACCTAGTTGAGTTAAAGTAATCTTGAGTGGAAATGCAAATATGTGCATTTTGATTTAGCCTAATTAAATTGGTGTTATGTGCAAACACATTCTGTCTCTACACTCAAATTTGGGTTTAATAGAGCAAATTAATTCCTCTCACTGGAGTATGTTTTTGCAGAAACACACCCGCCTCCCCCGATCATTGAAAATTTCCCACGAAGTAAAAACCGGTCAGCAACTCCAAACCTCGGGCGCAAACGGAGACCCGAGGTCGGCAGCGAAGCCAGAATCCCGACAGGGTTGGCCGGCGTGGAACTCAGGGTGGCGTCTCTTCCTCATTTAGAGCTGAAATTCTTCCTGAGTTTGCATTTTGAGATAAAATATTCGGGACTGAAAGGAGAAAAATAAGCCTCAAAAATGCTTTTGAAGCTACGCCCACTTTTGAATTTGAACTGAGAAAGGTGCTGAAGCGGCGACAAGCCTCATCGAATTCGCAACGGCCTTCTTATCTATGCAAGTGGTCTACAGGTTTGGAAGTCACTTGTCTAAAAAGAGGCCGGTAAGGGGAGGGTTCACCCGATCCCTACTAGGCCTCGCTCGCTAGCCCAAGTGACTACGGAGCTCCCTCCTCCCCCCTTCCGCCCACTCTCCGATTTCCAACTTTGCAAAGTGTAGGCTCGAAATTCAGGACAAGTGTGACACCTACCTGTGAAAGGGGGGAACCGTCCCATCGCGGGTCGTGCGACCCCAGCTAGGAGGCTGAGCGGTCATCCGCAGGGCCGCCGGCCACCCGCACCATCGCGGATAGAACATTCACTGATTTAATTAAATCCAAAGTAGAGATCAATGCCCAGTTTTGAAGAGGTAGAGAAGACAGTGACTTGGGAAAGAAAGCCTTCTCTGTGGCATTCCCTAACGCTCCTCGCCCGCATTAGCCAGCAGCACCTTTGAAATAGTAATAAGGGCTAAATCCGGCATAAAATCGAACTCATTAGCAAAGTTCACCAGCTGATTGCTTTGCATAAAACACGACACTGATTGGAAGTAATTAGGTTAAGCGATGGCGCTGGGGTGGTGCGTGTCTCTGGCTTGCTTTGCCCTCTTTTCTCCCTTCTGGGCACACACTTGGGTCTCTCTTCTCCTTCCTCCAGGGTCCAATCTCCCCCAAGTATCCCGCATCAGTGACCCAAATCCGCATTCCCCGGCACGGCCGTTCCTTGGGCTTGCAACCTAATTACAGTGCACAGGCACCTGAGGGTCTGTGGAACCTTGCACACCCCACTTCGAAAAAAGTTACAGTTGCACCTTTAGACCAAGGCAATGGACAGTTTATTGAGGCTTCTAAAAAGTAATGAGTAGCTCTGATTATGTTAAAATCTCTTTTAATTAAATATTTTGCATTTTACAAAGGCGGCTGCAGTTTCTTTAACTTTTTAAATCTAAGAGTATAACCTGTTTCCTTTCTGTAATAATACTTTAGCTCATACCCAGAAAAATCAATAGGTGTAAAAAATTAAATTAAACTTGTATTTTTAAACTATGAAACAGTTTTGGGGGAAACACAAATGTATATATTTATATTACAAAAAAACATTAAATGCCTGTACAGGGGTCTTGATTTCATAATTTACTTCAAAGATATTGAATTATCAATTTAAATACAAAATGCTACATTAAATATACAGAATAAGATTTAATACAAATCCTCTTTTAAATTTTTCTTTTCGTTTGGTTAAGACATTTGTGTTTGTGTATTATGTGTGTGTGTGTGTTGTGTGTGTGTGTGTGTGTGTGTGTGGAGATGTTTACATTTTTATGTCATCCATCTCCATAAACTATAAACTTTTGAATAGGAGGGGTAGTTTCTCTCTCTCTCTCTCACTTACTCTCTTGGTGATGGGAAAATAACTGCCAAGGCCATGTTTTTAATAAATTAGCAAAGTCCGGGACGACGCGGCCCGCGTTAAATGTCGGACATACCTTTCTTCGGTTCATAGGGAGAGTCTTTGCACAGGTCTAGCTGAGACTGGCTCCTCAACATTTTCGGATCTTTAGCCAAAGTGTCCGCTCGGTTCAACATGGTCTGGTTTAATCCATTGAAATGAGAGCCTGGACCGGTTGTGGGGCCTGGCCCAGGCCCTGGGTGGCCATGAAGGTGTCCGAAGGAGCCATAGTTCGTGTAGCCAGGATAGAAGGGCGCAGTGTAGTAAAGAGGCCGGGACAACACTGTCCCGCCCGGGAAAGGACACTGCGCCGAGGGCGAGCGCGACGGCGCAGGGGCCGGCGACACACGGCTGCCTCCTAGGGCTTGCCCCGCTACAGACCCCTGGCACGGTGGGCATGGAGAGCTCTCGCTCCCGCCGCCCCCGTCCTTGACCTTGTCCGAGGATGTGGCGATCTCTGCCAGAGACCACAGTTTGGGCTTGGTGAGCACCGCCGGCGGCGGTGGAGGTGGCGGCGAGTGGATGACCGAGGGCCCGCCAGGGACGGGGGGCAGCTCTCCCGCTGATGGGTGCGGGCTGGGCGCCGGCGCGCCCGCGGGGTAGTGAGGGACCGGGTCCTCGGCCAGCCGCGCTGCCACTGGCCCAGCTGGAGAGGGTCCCCCGGCGTGGGGGGGCCCCGGCTGCGCGTCGTGGCGGCCGTCCGAGGGCGGCTCCTTAAAATCCGAGTCGCTGAGACTGCCTTCCGTCTCCTTACCGGCCGGAGTCGGCGGCCCCTGCAGCCGCTCGCAACCCGCAGCCTTCTGCTCTGCTCCTCCTGTGGGCGAAACCCAGATTGTCAGAGGCGCAGAGGCCACGCGGCGGGGCCCAGGTTCCCGTCCGCAAAGGCAGAGACCCTTGCCCCCAACGTTCAGGACCCGTGCGCGCCCCCTCCAGGCTCTCCCTTCCTTCTTAGTCCTGCCCAACATACCCATTCCCGCATCTACCAACCTGCTTCAGGACCCTCGGGGTCGCCCTTGTCCTCGGGCTTCTGGGGCTCGTCCTCGTCGTTCTTCTCCAGGTCAATGTTCTCCTCTTCTTCCTCGTCCTCGCTTCGGTTCCGAGGAGTCCACGTCATCTTGTTCTCCTTCTTCAGGCGCCGGCGCGCGTTGGCAAACCAGGTGGACACCTGGGTGAGCGTCATCTTGGTGATGATGGCCAGCATGATC